TTTTGTAAGGTCAGCTTCACCAACAGTGTCGATATCGTGGTCGGATCAGCTCACTTTAAAGCATCAGTACCCAGCGCGTTGGTTTCCATTGGCTGTGTCTTCCACTCTGGCATGGTGCCTGACAGGGTTTCGCTCCGACTGACTGACCTTTCTCAATTTGTACCTTCGGCGAATATTTGCCCTGACCGATGATCGTTTGTACTTCGGCAGGCAACATGCGACATTGGCAATCTTGTGATATAACCATCTTTATCTACTTCACGGGTCTGGAGGATTTTATTCTCGGGTCCACGGTGCAGATGTGCAGATGCGCGGCCATCAGGGAACCCTGAACCTTCTATTGTCTACACTACGCCAACTGACTCGCCGCAGTTGGTTCCAACCCCAACAACTGCTGGGGTAGTGGGGAGAATACCTCAAGCTATTCTACCCTTCGACAGTCAATGCACACAAGATGGAAGCTCACAAAACCGAAGACTCAATCGCAGAGCTCCTCACCACCTATAACGAGCTCAACTCGTCGCACATCGAGGAACTAGACGAGGAGCCGAGCCCGTTAGAGTTTATGCGTTATGTTGCGCGAAATAGACCCTTCGTTTTGCGACGTGGCGCAAAAGACTGGGCCGCTACGCGAACCTGGGATGCGAGCACACTACGCTCGACGCTGGCTGGAAACAAGGTCAATGTCGCCGTGACTCCCTTCGGAAACGCAGACGCCCCCACGCTAGATGGTGAAGGACACACCGTGTTTGCGAAGCCGCATGAGGAAGACCAGGAGTTCAGCGAGTTTCTAGAATGTGTGATACAACAGGAAAAGTTGAGTCCGTTAGACAGTGAGCAACAAGCGAGAAAAGAGGAGGTGAGGTATGCGCAGACGCGTAAGTCCTACACCGCTATACGCCTCGGCCGTGGCTCGCTCATGACAACGCCTCTTAGAATCCATATTTACTAAAGAATATATATAGAAAATGACAATTTGCGGCATGAATACATAACCCTCTTTTCGCAGGTGGAAAAGCGGATTGCTTTTGCGAGCATAGCATTACAGCTAGAGCCTGATGCCATTAACATGTGGATCGGCAATTCGCGTTCCGTGACGGCGTTGCACCGAGACAACTATGAAAACATCGTAAGGAATCCTCGAACTATTTTCTACTTGTTTAGCAACTTTCAGGGCATGAAATTTCTCTTTCGAACCAAGACAGTGTCTAGGAGCTTCTGAAACCCTCACAAATCACGAACCAAATGGCAATAGCTGACTCCGGGTGTTGTTGTAGTATGTGCAGATAGCGGGGTGTAAGCACTTTGTTCTCCTGCCACCGATATTCCAGCCTTGCGTGAATGAGCAAGACCTCGAGCCCGCTACATATGTTCGCAGTCAAAGTGAAGAGCAACAGAAAGAAGGAGGTAGCCTCGTGTTACATATGGATGAAGCGGTCAAAGAAAATAGTGAACGGCCATCAAAGGTTCCCTTTGCTACTTGGGATCCTGATGCGCCCGAGGTGCATGCGACAAAATATTCACATCTCGCCGAACCGATGCGCGTATCGCTAGAATCTGGTGACATGCTCTACCTTCCAGCTATGTGGTGAGTATTAAACTTTTGGTGTTTGATGTTTGGACTAATTGGCTCATTGATGCAAATTTAGGTACCATAAAGTATCGCAGTCATGTTCTGATGACGGAATTTGTGTGGCTGTTAACTATTGGTAGGTGCTCACCTTTTAACTAATTAACCCTGTCTCTCCGATTTCCCCGATTCTATACCCGTGCCCACCCCATCTGACAAAACAACTTGAATAAACTTAGGTACGATATGGAGTTTAGTGGACCACTATATTCACTATGTTCATTCGTCCGAAACGTGAGCTTGTTGGAGCGACAATGATTCTATCTCATGACTACGGCTAGAACATAGTCATATATAGAAGATGATGAGAGAATATCCGATAATCAAATAAGTAAGTGTATTCTTGTTTTAACTGAGCTGCTTCATATCATCGATCCTAGTGGAAGCCTCATACCGTACAAATGAAATCATGTCCTATTCATTTATCACAAGTGCCAATTCATGCAAACTACTACTCCAAACACCGAAGCTTGCTAAACACATAAGTTATCGTATACCGTCTCTTCTCTTTTCCCAGCATGCTATTAGTTTTGACAGTGGGAGGTCATTAAACGTTGAGCTTGATTCCAAACGGCTGTCGCTGACTCTCGTCTAAGAACCGGTTTTTGTCGTCGCCAATTTTGCGCCTAAAGAGAGACAAGTCTTTGAGCAGGTCATGCATGTAGTCCTGCATATCGTTCGCCTTCTCCTCGTATATCTCGGACTCATACCCGTCGTCCTCGCCGTCATCGTCATAGTATGCTTCATCAACAAGACTCTGCCGCCCGCTCTTGCTACCAGCAGCATCTTTGTCGTTCACTTCTTCCGCTGCGTTTGCTTTGCCGGCTCCTGAGTCATCGAGGGCCTCGAGTTCTGAAGATTGAGGCTGCACAACGACCTCGGGGATCGGATTCTTCAAACTGTCGAGTGCGAGCTTAAGATGAAGACGTAGTGCCTCGTTTTCGGTCTGTAGACTACGTATTTTACCTTCGGCTACGAGACTGCGTTCTTCCATCATGCGTTGCATAGCGGCTACTCGGTTTTGGTATTCTTCAAGCCGTTCCTCGCTTTCGCGGGCGTTCTTCTCCCGCTGTCGAGAGTCTGACACAGAAAGTTGCAGCAGGCGAATCTCTTCGGACATGGCGGCGATCTGTGCGTCCCTTTCCGCCGTACTGATGTGGTCCTGATTCACCACTGCACGCGTGCGGATCCTCTTCGCTTGGTCTGCATAGCGCAGTGTGGACAAGGTCTCCTCGTAATCCGATGGGGCGATACATGCAATCATTGCAGTCTTGCTGTTTCCGCCAAGGGAGTCCTTGAGGAGCCACGTCAAGATGGAATCTCGGAATGGCACGACGTCTCTGCTTCTTTTCCCTGGCCGGCCTGCCTTAGGATCTGCTAACGCCGCAATCACGCGTCCAAGGGTCGTCAGTGATTTGTTGATGTTACTGCCCTCGCGTAATCGAGCTCCCGTTGCCTCTGTGGACTTGGCTCTCTCGCTGCCTGCGAGATCGACCAATCGTATGCGTGAGCTTCGCTCCGTCGTCTCATCTGTCTCCATATCATGGTGAATTTGCTTCAACATAATAGTGAAAACAGCGTGGCTTCGACTACTGGTGTCATTCATCTTGGTGCTTGCTGTCGTGCGGCTCGCATCTCCTGCCTTCATGTACCTCAATATCTCCCTAAAATTCCTCACGGGTACCTCGGTCAAGTCTTTGACATATGGACCCTCCACTGGCGATTCGCGGATTTTAAGGTAGTACGGTGGCTGGTTCGGCATGACGGGCACAAGAAGATCACGGACGTGTTCATTGTATACTTCAAAGTAGGATACTCGCACGTGGTAGGAGATATTGGGTGTCTCGTTCTGGGCGGCTTCGATGCGCTGGAAAAGATCCTCGCAGGTTCGAGGAATGAGACCGGGCTGTTCATGTGTGCCCATCATGGTATATGACTTGCCAGAACCCGTCTGCCCGTAGGCAAAGATGCATGTGTGGTAGCCCTCGAAGTTGTGGTCGAGGAAGTCTTCGCCCAGACTGTTGTAAACGTCCTCCTGGTGCGCATAGTGCCTGTCTTTGACATTATGGCTCCAGAACGAGTTGTCGAACGTAAAAGACTTCTCTTCGATAGCTTTGCGAGTCTTTGCCCTACTATTTGCCGGGTCGGTGTCGTTCGGGACGTGTAGCGTTGTCATCTGGGTGATTGGGTCCATGCTGATCAAGCATTCTGCTCCACGGTCGACCTCTAATATTTGTGATATATGTTAGCCATTGTACACAACCTCGACTCATGGGCCCCTCCCGAATACTCCGAAACCAGTGTCGCTGGCAGCAACGAGACGTACCTCTAGGCAGAAAGGCCCTCACTCGCACCACGACCCTCACATTGCCGCCTGCGTCCACCCTCATCATGTGCGGTGGTAGTGTTCCATCGCGAGAGCGCAAGGAAGGGGTCGAGGCGGACGAGCGGATAGTGTTAACGACAGATTTCATTTCTCTATCGTCGAAGGCGACCAGTCCAATTCCAGTGGGTGTTTCTGTGGAATTTCGTTGAGATTTGATTGTTACTGGCGATAATAGCAATGGCGGCAACGGCACCATTCCAGACAATGTGTCGCAGAATTCCGTGAGAGCGTTGCGGTATCGCAGCCGGTTGAGAGTATCTGGAATGCCGTACATCTAAACTAAAGCGCCCCAACCTGCTTGCCGGGATTGTTGTGGGGCCCGATTATTTACTTTCGTTGCCCGGCAGCGGCGATGCGTAGCCGCGTTGCCTATCTTGGGTATGCTTTGTGCAAAGATGCCAAGAGCCCCGCGATTGCACAAGAGAGTGGGAGTGACGTGACGGACGACCGAGAATCTGTTAGAACATGTACTAGTGGATCCACCCTTGGAGACCCCCTCTGTTGGCACAGAGTGGGAGTTAAAATTAGGAATCTGCTCATAATTGTAAATGTGATGGGGTCAACACAGGCACCAGGTTCAAACACCTAATATACCTATTATTGGGAACGAATATTCTACTTAAGGAAAGAAAAGAAAAGGAAAGTCTAAGGTACATAGAAAGGCAGCCATTTATATAGACAATTGCCTGCCTTCAGAGTATTCACCACTCTATTAGTCGCCGCGCGACCTTTAGTGAATACTGCCATTATGACTGCCATTAAATACAGCCCTGTATTCAATACTGCCACCTTCATTCAATACTGCCGCATGGACCCACTGGTCCACCACTCGCGCAGCCACACACACCAGCCGCGCACTAGCCACAGAAATCACGTGACGTCACGTGACCCACAAAAATCACGTGATCCGTGACAGGTGCTCTGCTTAAAATTGATCTAGTAGGAGGATGAAGAATTGACCAAAAAGGAAATCTGGAAAAAATTTGGACAAGGTCGGATTCGAACCGACATCCCGGTTACTATGTAGTGAGATCCCGGTTGCTACCATTACACCACATGCCCCTTAAATTAATGCTCCCACCTCAGAATAAATACATAACTAACACACAGTGTTCTCTTTACACAGTAAAGATTATATAGCCTGCTATTAAAAAAACGGTACAATTACAATTCTACAGTTCTGACCACAGCAGATAGATTCTAAAGAGACTTAATACCTTTGTCATCCTAGAAGCCTGCACTCTTGGCAATTGGTTATGTACTTGGCTCACCAAATGCGGCTCCCTTTCCATCCGGTTATCTAACCGTGTACGTAGTAGTAAATCATCCTTAGAAAACCAAAGAAATGTTGCACTAAAAAGTAGTAGAGAGAATAGAAAGACTGAGTTAAACCAAGTATAGACAAGTATGGATGGAATTATACGATTGAAACTACGGACTGGAACGACCCGAACTATGCACCAATACGGGTTTGGACCAGTACGGCGTTGGGCGACGGACTGGTATGATATACCGACCAGCAGCAAAAGCGGCGAATGCACTAGACCTAATTTGCTTGCAGCTTGGCATTTGGTAAAGCCTGGTACCTAGAAGCCTTGTGTGTTTACCTAAGATCAGCGGGCGCTACAGTAACTCGAATGTGTTGGATTGATTGACACCAAACTCTCCGGCTGTACCTATGTACCTTACCTTAGGTAAGCCTCCCGACCTGCATGTGTACTGTACCTACTGTAAAGTGCGTGGACACTACATCTGCCTAAATATTTCACTTTTCCATTATAAGAAACTAAGCCGGATTCGGTAATACTGACTGCCAGCCACAAAGGCTGTATTACAGTCAGTAGCTATCTAGAACCTACGATTAATACACGGCACCCGCCACATCCGTTTTATCGATTCACCTTTGCTGAAATCACTTTTCCTAACTCTGGAAACACCTCATCTTCTTCTTCAAGGGGGAAATATTTCTCCTCGTAGATTAAACATCTGTTTGTTGTTCGAAGTGTACCTCATCAAGTTGCTAGCACTATCAGACTTCATGAACCTCCCCTCGATATTGATTTCATTAGGTGACAAGATCGCTACACCCGAAGAACTAAACACCAGATAACCCTCGATTACTAGTTTGGCTACCAGTCTTCGATATGGATGTCCATCTTCTGGTCTATGACCTATCAGGCGGACTTGCTCGGCAGTTGTCTATGGGCATGCTCGGCTTCCAACTAGACGCTGTTTATCATACGTCCATCGAGCTGGAGGGGATAGAATATGTATATGATGCCGGAATCAACGAGATACGTCCAGGGAGCTCTCATCTTGGTCGACCACTTGAGCGGATACATCTTGGGAAAACCGAATTGCCACTAGAAGTGATCGTCGAGTACCTTGACTCGTTGAGGGAGATCTACACACCCCAGGCTTACGATCTCTTTCGCCATAATTGCAACAACTTCAGCAACGATTTCTCGACCTTCATGTTGGGTAAAGGGATTCCGGATCATATTGCCAATATGCCACAAGCCGTCCTTGACTCGCCGTTTGGCAGGATGTTACAACCGCAGCTAGCACGCATAGTCGAGCAGAGGAAGGCTCAGCAGGGAGGGCTTCTTGGCATACAGAATGGTCAACAGCAATCCAACGGCGCGGCAGCATCTTCATCAACATCTGTCGTAGAAGTGTCTAACTTACAAGCCCTAAACACTACCTTACAGAGTGCTGCCGGCAAATCAGCTATCATATTCTTTACTTCAGCTACATGCCCCCCTTGCAAGGCCCTTTACCCTTTGTATAACGAACTGGCTTCTGAAAATGGAAAAGATGTCACTTTCATCAAAGTTGACATTTCAAGAGCATATGATGTATCACAGCAATACGCTATCTCCGCAACACCCACTTTCGTCACTTTCGTCCATGGCAAACAACAGGAAAGTTGGGCTGGGGCTGATGCTGCTCGGTTAAGAGGCACAGTCAAATTATTAGTTGAGATGGCTGCCGGGCCTTCACACCCACATCGGCTTTTACATTTACCGCACTTATCGAATCCTGATTCGAAGGCGGTTCTATTCACTAAAGTGCCTCCACTTCCGAAGCTATTGTCAAAGCTAGGCCCTGCCGCAAACAACGCTGTCGTTCAGAGCATGAAGCATTTCATTGAGGCAAGGTCTACCGAGGGCCCAGCAATGGTCACGCTACCGGACCTCTCTGTTTTCTCGGATTTCCTAACCACTGCCTTAGCAGATTTACCCCGGGAACTCCTATTCGCTGTCGTGGACTTGTTCCGGTGTGGTCTCATCGACCCACACTTAAGCGGCTACTATGCCGAGGAGCACGGCCACAAGACCGTCGTTGCAATTCTAGAAGCTGTGAATGGTGACCCCGGGACTCCTTATGCCCTCCGCCTAGTAACATTGCAGATGGCTTGTAACCTCTTTTCGAGCCCCTTGTTCCCAGATCAAATTCTTGGACAAGCGCCATTACGTAGAGCTATCACCCAACTCATCTCGAGCAGTTTCCTTGAGGATACCCACAAAAATGTTCGGGTGGCGGCTGCGTCGTTGCTCTATAACGTGGCCCGTGAAAATAGTCAGCGCAGGAGGCAATCAATAGACACACTTCCTGAAGATGATCAGGTGGAGCTCGCGGCTTCGGTATTAGAGGCTATCACGCAAGAAGAGTCGTCAGCCGAGGCCTTACATGGAATGTTATTGGCATTAGGGCTGTTGGCATACTGTATGCCAGTAGAAGGGGAGCTCATAGACCTTTTGAGGACGATGGATGCCCAGGGATCCATCCTAGCGAAGAAGAGCCACTTCCCTAACGAACCTCTAGTCATCGAGGTAGGTGCCGAGCTATTCAGCAAGGGCCTTGTGAGGAGATAATTGACTAGTCCTACTGAAAAGATAGAGTGCTGGGGTTCGGAATAGACGTTGGGGATGGACATAGACTAATGGTATGGTCTATGAGATACGGCCTCGAATATCATTTCCGGTTTGTCTTTAGAGTCACTCCCCGAAATTCTCTTGCCGGACTATATTGGTCTTAGGGGATATTATAACAATATTAAATATGGACACGGCAATTTTTCTTTTCTTATCAACCATGGAGCTCCAGGACTTAGCTGATGAGTGCGCACAATTCCTCATAGGGCGTCAGCATTTGTATTCCACGTATCAAAAACTTAACCTGATTTGATGATGTAATTGCAAAATCCCTTGTTAATACCTATACCCAGAGCTGTATGTAAATGTCATATGAGGTAAGAATAGCGTCACTCTAGAACCCCATAACTTAGACTTTCAGGGTCCTTAGGGCTACTTGACTATGCCAATTCTCCCCATACGAAATACCACCACTGTCAATTAGACCTATGCTCGTCAATAGCCATTATTACGCAAAATATTGTCTAAACGCCTTGATGGCAAGCACGACTCTATCAGACAATTCCTCCCAAAAGGCAATATGTCATTGCGGACGTATCGCCATGACCCTACCCAATCCTCCCAAGGACATCAGCGAATGCCACTGCAGCTTGTGCTATAAGCTTGGGGCACTGTGGGCCTATTACCCACGGGATGAGGTTGCAGTAACGACGTCTTCTCCTGCCTTCACCACATTGACCTCTCCTGCTTCCTTCCCATCCCAACTTAGGCCCATTGACATAACCCCTATAACAAGAGGGATTAACACGGCTGTTGATGAGGCGTTAGATAGCTACGTGAGCATGGATATGCCAAGTGATAAAGAAAACGCCACATTTTATCGCTGCGCTCACTGCGGAGCTTTGACTCATCGGTGGGGAGTCTCGAAGAGGCAGGGCGATGATGTAGACGAGTCGATTATGGGTGTCAATTGCCGCTTGTTGCCCGAGAACGAAATTTCCAAGACGAAGAGGATTACGGAGACTTGTCGAGGGCTGGATGTGAAGAAGGAGTAAGAACGGTGGGCAAAAAGAGGTTGAGCGCTGTGAATGAGTAACCGGGGGATATTGAACATGTTTCATGCCTGTTGGATGGACCTGTAGAAGTAATCAAATTGGATACATTGGGGTCGTTTGGGTTCAGGGGCGGGGGCTGATTTGAGAGGAAAGAAATGAAACACCTAGTAGAAGGAGGGTACGAGAGTGAATACTTGAAGTGTGAATAGTTTAGAAAGTTTTTAGCGATATTCGAAATGATACCATGTCATATCAAGGGGATACATGTCTCATCAATAACTGAAATTCACAGTGCTGAAAACATAGGGGGATAATAGGGATATAAGCGTTGGTCTACGAGACAAGCTCTGTGGTAGCCTGATGGCATTCCCTCATGGTCGGCAATATCCGGGAGGATCGTAGATATAAACATCTAAGCCATCCTTCAAATAGAAAAAAAAAAAAAAAGAATCGCAGTGAAGCCGAGGTCCGCTAAGGAACACCTGTGCGCGGCACAGAGCAGCATCTCGGGTGGCCCCGATGTGACGGGGGCCGGTTGTTGGTTGGGGCGTGAAAGATGTTGCATGATCTAGGAGTCTTATCTGATTCTCGAAGTACCTCGGTTTGTGACACAAGTTGGGCCGACTTCCGGCCGCCGAACATTGCGACTCATATGAGAAACTCAACGGCATAGTAGCTAACTTTTCCCACCCATATACCTATAGTGGTGCCATCCATGGCTGCTGCTTCTGTGATAGTTTACTATATGATAGGTAATTGCCGTGTTGTCTTTGAACTTCTCGGGTCATATTGATCAACGACTCGGATTAGTCAACACGGAATGAGTGGCCTAGATGGCAACCTTACGACGTGTTATATATATATATATATATATGTAAAGGCTATATCCTACTTCTTAGATCGCTAAATGTAGCGAGCGAAATAACATGGCAAGGAGACGGTCAGCAACGAGAGAGCATCCCATAGTTGTTGTTTACTTTGTTGGAACATCGCCCAAACCTCTTCTAAGACCTATCGGCAAGGGAAATGAGCATTAGTCTATGCATGTCCATCTCAACCAAACAGGCAGTGATAGAAAACAGGGTATTTGGAAGATAGGAGAGCAAGACGATGTCACTTAGATTGGCCG